AAGTGACAGCATTTGTAGTAGTTTTAGTAGAGTTGAATAAGAATTGAGATGTGATGAGATTTGCATTAAACCATTTCACACAAATGGTTGAAAATTTCTGTACTGCCTATCACAGGGTGCTGTGTTTATTCAGTGTGATACCTTGGTCTTACAGGTTTGTGTATTTATGAATTTTGCAATTTCTCCTTGGGAAGTTTAGGGAAAGAAGTATTTCCAAATTGTTGTCAGTATTCTATTCTGCAAATTGGCAGTTAAACTTCAATACTGGGGAGGAAAATGAAGTGTTCAAAAGGTGTGTCTTTAAAACCATAGGTCTTGTTTGTTTATTTAGGGGTGTCTTCTCCTTAGTGGTTTTAACTTGTAACTTCATACACTTTTTATAAGAATATATTTTCATAACGACATAAGTCTACTATATATTCCTGTTTTCATACTGATTGCCTAGTATTTGGGATAGAAGTATTTCTGGCTTATGAAATTTGAGTGATAGTTCTAAAACTGTATAGATTGCAAGTGAAAAAAAGAATCTTGTTTCAAATCTTGTATCTAGACACTGTGTGTGTATAGTGATAGATATACTTTGTAGAATTTTTTTTTCTTTTAAATTTACTGGGTGACAGCACCTTACAACTGCCTTTAAGTGTAATGCATGCTGTTTTTCTAGTAAACCATGAAAATTACATTAAATGTTCTAAGAATGAAGTTTAGACTACTGGTCTCAGTTTTCGAGTAATTTCTGCTTAGGTTGATGTAAAACTCTGCTAAGGGTGACTAAAATACTACTCAAACTGAAACAATTCAGTCACTTGGATAAAAAGACTACATTTGACATTGAAAGAAAAATTTGAAAGTAATATTGAAGCCACTGGGCTATCTTAATTTCCTTTCCTAATTTTTTTTTTTGCAAAGAAACAAATGCCAGGAGAGCAGTAGACAGAGGATATGTGCAGGTGCTTTTAACGATTTATGTTGATTGGCACCATCATGATAGTCGACACAGATACATGCTGATACGTAAAGGAGTTTTACAGTGCATTAAAAGTATTACAAACATCAAACTGGGAAGAAAAGCATTTCTTGATGCCAATGGGATGAAAATTCTTTACAACACTTCACAGGTAAGTTTTTCCTGATCGGGTTTACTTATGTTGTTATTTTTGCCTTTTTGGCTATGACCTGAAGTTTGCCTTATTTCTTTTATGAGATTCATGGTCATTCCTGACTATGGGAGTAAGGATTATATTCTCTACTGCACTGAGACATTGAAAGAGTACAGAATTAAATTTGTATTTGCTGTTATTTTGCTGTGGCTATCTCTGGGAGGGGGCAGTTGAACTCAGTTTTAAAGAACAGGAAGTGAAAATGCCTTTATATTTTGAAGTTTGGATTTTTAAAAAAAGTGAATTTGAGTAGGTGGAAGTTTTTCTGTCCTTCAGAGAAGACGAGAACCACTTTTTTTGTCAATAGTATATAAATGTAATTTGACTTTAAATTTGAGAAATAATTTTCTTTATTTTTCTGTTAACAGGAGTGCCTTGCAGTAAGAACTCTTGATCCTCTCGTCAATACATCCAGTCTAATAATGAGAAAATGTTTTCCCAAAAATCGTCTTCCTTTACCAACTATTAAAAGTGCTTTCCATTTCCAACTCCCAGTTATTCCTGCCAGTGGTCCTGTGGCTCAGCTGTACAGTTTGCCTCCTGATGGTATGGTGATTTTGTAGTACCTTGTCTTTGAGTATGTCTAATTTTGCTTTATGGCAGGTAGAATCAATTGCACTTATTTATGTTGTCTGCTAAAAGGACTCTGAGATGCTTCTAAACAAACAAAGCATCTGCCATTGTTGGTGTGGAGTACCAATTTCTAATGTTAAGTTTAAAGTGATAGAAATTTTGTCCAGACACATGTGGTTATAAAATAAAAGAGGAAACAAGGACTAGAAGGTGATGCTCATCAAACTCTGAAGTGTAAAGAATAAGCGGTCTCTTCTTGCAACTCATGCAGACTATATGTTGTCCTATGTGAAACGTGTTGTAGTGTACATCCTGTCTTACAGGAGTATGTATCCCTTACTTTCTTTCTGTTACTTTGAAAAGTTAGGATGTGATGAATTTAGATAAAAGTGTGCCATTTGAAGCACTGCCTTTTTAATGTTATTGTGGTTATTTCTTCATTTGCATGATGAGAAAGTAGAGCTGCTTTCTTGGAGTGTTGCTGTGTCTTAGAAAACACTGTACTGCAAAGCATTTGTATGGTTATTTGCAGGAAATCGATTCATCCCATTGTGAACACCTTTCACTATTTTAAGATAATTAATACATATTCTGATAAGGTGAAACAGCTTCAGACAATGGTAATCAACTAATGAAATTGCTATCAGAAAGTTACTCTAAAGTGAAGGGTCAAATTCAGCTTATTAATATCTTTTATTCATGATATCTCCTGAAACAAAATGTGATCATAGTCTGAAAGAAGTAAGATATCCTATTGAGATAGGATACTCCACTAGTTCAAAGATTGTTTATGTTTTGTCTTCAAAGCAGAAAATAGATTTAGAAGTGTGCTTCAAAACCCACAGAAATTAAATCTCGGCTTAACTCAGTAGATTGGTATTGTATAATACCTGTTTAGAAATGTCCTAGTTTACTAAAGTGAACTGATATGTTTTTTTAATGTTTGTTATATGTTGTAAAACGAAGTGAAAAACCTAAGGAAATAGAATACATAGTGATTGAAAAGGAAAAAGTTCTATATTAAAGGATATGTGGAATGTTGGGGGGTGGGTAGAGGTCTGGTTTATTAAAAGTATAATCTTGTATAGTCAGTATTGTAAAAGCAGTGCATGTAGTCATTCTGAGTACACTAGAAAATCAGCATAATTTGTAAACCTCTGAATGAGCCTTTTAGTGGCAATCAGCAGATTTCCTGCATGGAAAACACTGAGAGAACTTAACAAAACACCCCCAGTACTAGTTCACTGGTTCGTTTTCACATTTTTTTCAAGGAGAAAGTGAAAAAGAAAATTAACCCAGAACGTAGAAAATCTTCTTTGAGCATGTGTAATTGGATTAAATGTATAATCTGCCTTACAAAAACCTTTTTATATTGTAGTGGATGATGTAGTAGATGAAAGTGATGATAACGATGATGCTGAAACAGAAACAGAAGTTGAAACTGAAATTGATGATGACAAGGACCAACATTTTAAGGTTGGTAGAGACAAAATTAATAGGCAAAAGTCAGGTATAGCAATTTTTTATTTAAGTTGCTTGAATCTGGTATATAAATGCATTTTAAGTGTTAGAAGCAGCTTCAGGAGGTTTTCAGGGTAATTTCTAAAATTAAAAAAGCTTCAGAAATTCTTGTTCAGGATTTTTATCAAAATTTGTTTCCTTTACACTTGATGTATCTGAAGTGCAGAGAACCACAGACTCCTTTAGCAGTGCTCTCTTCCCAGCTTGTACTTTTCTCAGCCTGCTTTTCTCACATAAGCTGGTCCATATGTAGGAGCTGCTCTAACCTTTTCCAGCATTCTGGACTGGGATTGACTGAATCAGTGTTTCAGCAAGGTAGCAGAAGTTCAGCCAGCTGTAGAGGTAGACATCATACCTCTCTCTCGCTGTTGCAGCACTTAGGGAAGGTATTCTCCTGTTCTCCTGCTGCCACGCAGGACACGGATGGATACTTGGTCAGAGCTGCCTTATTCTGAATTTTTATGTTACGTGTATTTAGGAGTTAACTGAATTGTTTGTCTGTTGTCATGAACTGGAAAGACGTATTTCAATCAAGGCTCTCGTGAGCCCTGATGGGTGGAGTATCTTCCATAGAAGCAGTATTGCGTTGTCGCTGCAATCAGATGAAGCCTTCACATTCCAAGTTCCATTACTGGGAATATGCACGGATTTAATGTAAAATCTGATATCTGTGTATAAAAAGTTTGGATGAAAGGAAGAAAAGTGAGATGTTTGTAATATTGCTGTTGAAATGGAGGCTTAGGCATACTAATAATACTGAGCAGTCTAAATCTTCATGGTGAAAGCTGAAGTTCAGCTGATTTTAAAATAGTGATATTTTATCTTTTAGAGCATGGCTATGTCAGGAGTAAAGGTGAATGTTTCAGATTGATGTTGTAGAAGTTCATTATTTTTGTATGCAAGATTAATTTGTTCTGGTGATCTTTCAGAATGATGATATTGAGACTGATATTAATAAACTGAAACCTAGACAGGAATTGGGAAGACCCATGGAAGAACTGAAAATGTATGAGCAATTTTTCCCAGAACTTTCAGAAAACTTTCAGGTAAAGTATATAATTCCCAGACATTTTTGGCCATGTCAGAATGTAGCCGTGGAAAGGGGTTTTAACCCTTTAAGTGCGGCAGAAATAAGATTCACAGCTACATGGTCGTCTTTCATGATAGAAAGAAAGAGACAAGTTTATTCAGAAACACACTTGGTTTTATAGCATGACTCGCAATTCTAAGAGTAGAGAAAAGGTGATTGGTTCAGAGAGAAGACACCCCATTCCCAGGGCCTGGACACACACCACAACAGGTGTTCTATCTTTGTTATTAATTCCTTTTTATTTTGGCCAAATTATCACCCTGGGAGAAATTCTCCCTAGCCTTGAGCTGGCCCAGCTTATCGGCTGGGAACAGAGCTGAAAAGCTCCAGCCTGGAATATTTTTCAGGCTGTAATTTTCTTACTTTCTCAATATGTGTCCCACATCAGATTGACTCTGGAATATACTTTTATGTTCTTTTTGGGTGGATACTTCCCCTAGCCAAGAATCATGGGTCCGCAGATCTGGACCTACATACGGCAGTACTTTATTCTAGTTTAGTTAGGTGTTACAGTTGCTTCAGTCTTATCGAGAAGGGGATACTATGGGTAGATGTAAAGGGAAACTGTTTTCTGCTTATTATTGTATATAGAGGAAAGTAAAATACTGAAGAGGGACGTGAGATTTCTGAGAGTGCTTCATTGTATTTAGCATCTCCTTAAATGCTGTGCACCTACTTAAAATAGGTAGTTAAAATATCTGGGCAATTGCATTGATTTTATACTTGGTTATTAATTAACTCCTTGTTATTGCTTTAAGGCCTTCTTGTAAAAGATGTAACTTCATTGCTCTGATGCTTTATAACACTTGCCACCTTTAAATTGCATTTAAAACAAGGATAGAGAAATGTTTCTAATATACATGAAACTTGGGAACTGTTAATTATTTTGTTAATGATTTTAAAAATTTTTTTTCACTTTTGTTTTTTTAAGGATTTGGACTTAGTTTCCAAGGAACCAAAGCCTTTTATACCTGATGCAAATTTGAGTGGACCTATTGTTGTTCCTACAGCCAGTGAGGAGCACACTGCTGAAGCAAACCCGTCAACAAAAGAAGTTGCTTTAAAGGAGTGCAGTCCTTCATTGACAGAGGAATACAATAGAAGGCCAGTGTCTCTGGAACTACCAAAACAAGATAACATGAAAAACAGTAGTTTACATCAGCAAAATGATCAAAGAAACATGCTTCCATCATGCCAGTGTCTGAGCCAAGAAATTGTGAAAGGTTTGGACAGAATCAGTCTCCAGAACAGTGCAAAAAATGATCAGTATTATGGTACAGGGTGTGTAGTAAAGAAGGAAAGCAAAGATAGCCTTACCACGCTTGCTTGTAGTAAATCCTGTGATCATGTTTCACCCTGTGGAGGTAGTCTCTTTGAAGGATCATCTGTCCAGCTGGGAAAACTCTGCTGCACTGGAGTGGATTCAGAGGAGGAGGGGGATTCCAGATCTAGTTCATCAGGAGAACATGTCATGCTTCAAGTTTCTGATGTATCACCAGTTCATGACTGTGATCTTTATCTTGAAATGGTGAAGACCACAAAGTCTATTCCAGATTACTCAGAAGTGGCCTATCCAGATTATTTTGGCCATATTCCGCCCCCATTTAAGGAACCTATTCTGGAAAGGCCATATGGGGTGCAGAGGTGAGTTACCATACTCCTTTTTTTGTTGTTGTTTTCATTCCTTTGAGAAACAGTGTTTAGGATGAGATTAACCTGATGATCTCCAGAGGTCCTACCCTACCCTAGCTGTGCTGTGATTAACAAGCAATGTTGCACTGTTTACTTTGGTGCCTAAAACTTTCCAGTGAAAAGCAGTTTGAAGGTAGGTGAGTAGGCATTGATCAGCACAGAGCCTTAAAGAAGAACACAGTCTGATTCTGTAATTGCTAATTCTGGAATTCAATTTCTAAATGCAAAATTCCATTTATATTCTTCTTTTCTGCCTTCCCACCATTTCCCATGTAAATTTTGTAGTTTGCAAAATAAGAAACCAACCTACAGAACCCCACCACCATCCAAACAAAAACATCCTCACCTGAATCCTCCTTTCAGGTCTTAGCAAAGATAGAACAGTTAATAGTTGAAAGATTCTTCACCTCTTTTCTCTGCTGAACTAAATATCTGTCTTTCAAGGAAACATAGTGGAAAAAGTTAAAAAATTAGTACACTAAAGTGTTTGGCTTTAGTGTGCACAGTATAAGAGTTTAGAGGTAACAAATGCAGGGAATGCAGTTTATGTTAGGTCCTGCAGAATGACATACAACAAAAACACATCAACACACCCTTGTATTTCTTCACTGAGAGATAATAGAAGATGATGAAGAGTGATGAGATTATTAAGAGTAATTTGCAGAAGTGGTATGAAGAGCTGGCTAATACACGTAGGGAGTTACTGTAAAGACGTGAGTACACTAGTGGGTAGCTTTGAGACCTTGCCACTTTCCTAATTATGAGATTGACTGCCTTCACCTTTATACTCATAACTGTAACCAACTTAATGAGTTTCTTTGTATTTAGATTAAGAGATTCAATGCCTTTAGGTGGTTGAAGGAAAATCCTTCAGCTGTTTCACTCAAGTCATGGAAAAGTGATCTTTGTAGTGAAATGACAAGTGCTGAAACACTAATGACATAAGGAATATATTGTTCAGTGTTGAAGGAGGAGAATCTTTCCTAGCAGGCTATTTATTAGATAGGTTCAGCTGATTTAGAAGGGAGATAGTATTGAGTCAGGAATCACTTAAGAACTGCATTTAAGCAAATCTTGCAAATCTTTATGTATGTTTGTGTAGTAATTAATAATTCTGAATTTTCATTAATAGAATGGAGTGAAGTCAGATACAATTTGTCATTCCAGTGCCCACTGTTAGATATAAAGAACTGAAAAAATAAACCTCATATGATTATACATAAGGCTGGTTTCTAGTCCATGAAGATAATTTTAGGGTATATTTAAACTTGAAAATGTTTTATTTTTGTTGTATTTTTTATGTTGAAAGTAACTTTTTGAGGTCTTGTGTGAAGGAGAATGAAATAGCAGGTAATATGGCTAAACTTGAATCAAAAATCCAGCATTGCATTTTTAAGGAACATTGTTTTAAGAATTCGGTTGTCTACAAATGACTCAGTCTTCTGCAACATAACAAACTTCTGAAAAGGGAACTTGTTTAGCAAGGGTGTAATCTGTTTATGATTTCATAGTTTATAGTGGATTGTAAAAATTACTTTAGTAGGGAACATTGGAAAGCTTTAAAGTCTTTTACAAAGCTGTGTTCAAACTCCCGACATTCAGTGTGATTTATGTTCTCTGTAATGTAAGCACTTAGTTACTGCTCACTGGGTAAGTCTTATTTAGAAAATAAATGGTTGCTTTAATTCATCCATGTAATTTGAGAAAATATTGTGTGGGGCCTAAGGTGTGACTTAATGGATTTTCTTCTTACTTTTATTAGAACAATGTAGGGTTTGAGACTTTTTGTTAAGGGTTGCAGTGTATCAGGAGATTAATGATGTGTTTTGGAGTGCTTTTTCTTTCTCTTTTAAATTTAGTAGCATGTAATTATCACTAAATATCTCACCAATATATTACTGTTTGGATAAATGAAATTGATAATACCTGAAGTGTTTTATACTACTGTATCTTTTTAGGAAGAAAATTATTGTATTGTAGAATACCCTATAAATTTGGGTTTAAATTTCTACTTTTTTCTATTCCTTAAAAATTTAGTCGAGTTGGGTTTTTTTTCTGTACATTTTAGTGTTTTCTAGTCATCAGGATCCACAAAGGAGCAATCTCTAAGCACAAGGCTCACATCAACAGTATTGGTTCTATATATTTTTTTTCCTTTAATTTTCTTTAAATAGCTCATCTTCATTTTTTGGAACATGAAAATGTCTGCTACTACTTTTCCTTCTCTTGAGCATCTTGAATACTATTTCTTCTTTGTTTTATCTGCACTGGTTATTATAATGGTATGTGAATGCCATTATTATTTGTAAAATACTTATTATGGATTTTCATTGATGGATTTTGTCTTGGCAAAACTTCTGTCATATTAGGAAGTGTTACGGCATTTTAAAGCTGGGGCATGCCAAGATGAAATGAGTTTTCTAAGACCAAGTGTAAGGTCAAAAATCTGTAATTCTGTCCTGAGCTGAACCTATTCAGATGGATTGTGGTGAGTCAGCCATGTCACAATGTTGTCAGTACCTTGAACTTGTGACTTTTTTTTCAGTTAATTTCACTTTAATAAAATGTGCTAGCGTTGTGCACTTACCTTCTGTTTCTCGTTTGTTAACAGTATTTATTTTAATTAAGTTGAGAATTTCCAGCCTGAATGTACTGTAGCATTCTGTTTCTGTATTCTTCATTGTTAATCTGCCTCCTTTTCTTCTTATTGCAGGTGCTGTGCAAGCTTTTCCACACAGCTCTGCCACTATATTTCATACTTGAACTGCAACACATTCTTACTTTTCCAAGCCAGGACCTAGATACTGCCAGTTGTGCAATGGTTTTGTGATCTGGATAAGCACACACCTGACATTTGGCTGACATCACCAAATTCTTTCTTATTTGTTACGTAGTCAATAAATGAACCTAGATCTCCAGAGGTGAAAAGCTAGTTCACTAACACACTCACTGTACGACCTACTCTCTAAAACTCTTTAATTTTGGTTATGGTAGGATTCATGTAAGTTACTAATGTTATCAAGTGTTGTCATGCATTAAAGCCTTAACACAAGTAATGTTTGAGTAATTTCTGCTTCTATTATAAAGTATAAAACTGCATTTTTTTTCCTTCAGATAAAAACCAGTGAGTTGTGTGCATGAAAACTCAGTTCCCTCAAATACAAATACTGGATTCAGTCAGCTATGAATGCAGGTGTTTAAACTTAAGTACACCTTGAGTTTGTGCGCATAAGTGGGGGTGAAACTGAGATCTGTCTGAGCTGTACCACTGTCTTCATGTCAATTTTGTTAGTTTTCCTGTATGAGGCAATTCCTCTTTTGTGATTGGAAACAGTAAGTGACAATTTAAATGAGAACTCCGCTTTTCTCTTTTAGGACAAAAATCTGTCAAGATATTGAAAGGCTGATTTATCAAAATGACATTATAGATAGAGTTGTGTATGACCTTGATAATCTGAGGTAAGTTTTTACCTTCTATATACAATATTCAAGTAATACTCTAAGCCAATTCTACTTTCTCTGTGACGTGACTCATAATATTTACAGCAGATTTCATACAAAGTTTCATCTGACATAATAGTGTTTTTACTATCTTGGCTGTATTTGGAGGAAGGCTCAAAATAGTTTCTGAATTGCCAAGTGAGGACTAAAAGAAAGCTGGTTGGTTTAGCTAAGTTTGTTTTATTCATTTTGGTCCCTTTTTCTACTCATAGTTGTTCTGTACCAGAGGAGGCAGATGTTTTGAAGTTTAATTCCAAATTTGAATCTGGAAACCTGCGCAAAGTTATTCAGATCAGAAAGTAAGATATTTCAACTCTACTTTGTGTGATTTAGGCCTTTTATTTCTGCTTCTTACGATGATTGATATGTTTTTGTTAATTTTCAGAAATGAGTATGATCTAATTCTGAACTCGGATATAAACAGCAATCATTATCACCAGTGGTTTTACTTTGAAGTCAGTGGAATGAAAACTGGCATTAGTTACCGGTTTAACATCATCAACTGTGAAAAGTCAAACAGTCAGTTCAACTATGGTAAGATACGTTTCCCCTACTTTGAGAAGAAATACGTAAAAAATAGCTGTACTAGTCAACTTCGCTGTTTCCTCCCCTCTTCCACAGGGTTAGCAGTACTCATGTTGTCACTTTAAATTCTTTATTTTAATGGTATTGCTAGAAAATGATTTTTCAGCTGTAGTTGAAAAGAAAAAATGCATCTCAAACCAAGGGCTGTCAGTTTTTAAAATGAAGTTTTCTTGTAAGTAAGGCCAAAGCAGAAGAAATTTACTGGTAACTGCAGTGCAGTTGCCTTAGGACCATTGGGCAGGGGAGAACAGCAACAAAACGTGTTGATTCACACAGATCAAGAAGAATGATAGTTGTCATCATTAATCCATTTCTGCATAGGGGTAGATGTGAACATAAGCAGAGACATTCCAAAACAGTTTTGTCTTACTGATGGTGAGGAAAAATAAGTCTACTTTGAAATGCTGGGGTTCATAAGTGACCATTGCTGTTTCTAGTAATTAGTGTTTGCAGTGTGTGCCTAATTCAAAGGTTTACAAATGGCTGACTGAAAATACCTTTCTTCCTCTTCTTTTCTGGGAGTGTGTATGTGGAGTGTGTATTACTCAGCTTAAAACTGTTTTTCCTGCTGTATATTCTGAAATTTGTCCTTTAAGAAGGAAGAAATTTCTCCTCCCACTCCAGCTTCAAACTCTTGTTACCGAGTAATATTGTATTCTCCTTTGTCATACACTTTCATCCACATTGATAAAGTCACAGTTTGACCAGTAATAGGATGCTTTTAAGTTACTTACTAATCTTCATCCATCAGCTTAGGCTTTTTTTTTATATTGTGCATACTTAATCGTTTCTTTTGATTTTTTAAATACACTGACTGAATTGGTCGGTGTGGTTGGCTAATTATCTAATGAATGAATGATTTTAAATTAGTATGTATTATTTTCTCCTCTAATTTCATATTAAATGTTCAACTGAACCATACTATCAAAAAAATAAACTTTAAAGAGTTACATGTTAAAAAAAATGTCCTGAAGCAGCAGTTATTTTTCAACTATTTACATTAATGCATGATAGTATCAATTTGTAGTGTGAGTTGGATGAAATGGAATTGAAGACTGCTTGTAGTCTACCATTCATGCAAACCTCAGCTTTCATTTAAACCATAGGTCCTACTCTTCTCTTTAGTTGTTATTTTCTGAAAATCAGCAATCTTTTGTCACCTGTTTTAAAAAGCACACAGTACAATACCCAGACATTAATGAAAATGCACTCTGATAGTGAGCAAATAAGTAGAGGTAATTTGTAGACTTTTATGTAAGTGTTGATGTAGTCCGTTACTGCTAATATGTTTCTGTTTAATGGTAAGCACTAAAGTGAGATGCATTTCTTCTTTCAGGTATGCAGCCCCTCATGTATTCTGTTCAGGAAGCACTGCGTTCTCGACCGTGTTGGACTCGTGTTGGGACAGATATTTGTTACTACAAGTAAGTACACACACAAACCAAACATACAGCAAATCTTACACTGAAAATTAGCACGAGGTACTATTTTTGAGAAGAAGTATTTGTTTCTGCATTTGATAGTTCTGTGTTATTCTGCTGTGCAGAGAGTTTTTTTTCGGAGTTACTGCAGAGAATAATGTGTGATAGAAATATACAGGGTCTCACTTTGTAAGCACACTACGAATATTTAAACTGTTCATATTCTATACTTTTCTTAGAAATTGGACACTGTTTCTGGGAAGCTTTTAAGGGGGTATATATATGCATGCTTACTTGAAATCCTATTAGTAACTTCCAGTAATACTGACCTTATGGTCCTTGTGATGACTCTTCTGTAATCTGGGTGGAATTATTCTAGTGGAGTTCTAAAACACAGGATGAGATGGTGCAGAAAATGGATATGTAATCCTTCTTGGTTGGTAGCTGTTTGCTTACTTTTTTTTGTTTGTTTTATTTTCTTGCTTGTTTTTGCCTGCTCACCTTTTATCAATGTGAATAAATGTGTGTATCACTGTTAAAATGAACTGTCTTTAAAGTGAGTGGGAACCTGTATTTAATCGGTATGTATATAGAAGAGAAATACAGTCACTAAAAATCCTTTTGATTCTTAGAATGTGTGTTCAGAAATAATCAATAGTATGAAAAAATGTTAATATGTATATTACCTTCATTTTTTGATTTAGGAATCACTTTTCAAGAAGTTCAATTGCTGCTGGGGGCCAGAAAGGAAAATCCTATTACACAATTACATTCACAGTGACTTTCCAACATAAAGATGATGTGTGCTACTTTGCTTACCATTATCCATATACATACTCAACTTTAAAGGTGAGAAGCTTATAATCTGTTACATAAATGAATATTTATAATATTAGTATAATATATAGCATTCATGACTGAATTAATTTTGTTTCTTTTTATGAAGTTGAAAATGCTCCTTACAAGGGAGAATTTTCATAATATTGTTTAGATTGACATAATATGTAGGTTGTTCTAATGAACAGTCCCAGGAAAAATAAAATTGATGCTTAAAGGCTAAATGGGTTTCCTGAGTATCATAAAAATGATTGATTGTGTGACTGGAGCATCTCTCTTATGATGAAAGACCTCTAGAAGAGACGACTGAGAGGGGACCTCATCAATGTCTGGAAGTATCTGAAGGGGGGGTGTCAAGAGGATGGATCCAGGCTTTGCTTGGTGGTGGCAAGAACTGGGACAAGAGGCAACGGGAACAAACTGATGCACAGAAAGTTCCACCTGAACTTGAGGAGGAACTAATTAGTGGGTGCAAGGTGCAGTGCAGGTGACCAGGCACTGGAACAGACTGCATGGAGAGGTTAGGGAATCTCCATCCTTGGGGAGTTCAGGCATTGTCTGGACACAGTCCTCTGCAATGTGTTATAAGATGGCCTTGCTTGGAACAGGGGAGCTGGACCAGATGGCCCACTCTTGTCCCTTTCAACCTTGCACATTCTGTGATTTTGTGATAATTGGCTGGAAGCAGTGCTAATTTGACGTAGTCGTATGTGTTTTAGTTAAATGACTTGCATCCTGCTGTTCTGCATATACTTTTTGATAACTGCTTTTTGATAAAGCTGCTGTAACTAAGATAATTAGAGATCTTTTTAGGTTTATAAATTGTCTAAAGAAGTCTTCTGAAGCTTTTAATACTAAGCAAAATTAATTTGGCTAGAGTGTCTCTTGTTTGCCTCTGTCACAGCAATAAAAGCAAAGTAGAAGATTCAGTGGCCAGTGTATAGCAGCTTTAAATGCAGCTTTTTGCTAAACTATGCCAGCTTTTAAAAGAAGAACCTGTTAAAAGATGTTATAAGCAGCTGCTGCTTCCAGCAGCTCCTGATCCTGGAGGTTCCTCCTGCCCATCTGCTGGAGGCCAGACAAGGGATCTGGGGATCTCTGTCCCAGGCTGATGGACATGGCTACTGCTTTCCTGTTTGCTTATATATTCACTAGCAAGTCTGAGTATGTATCCCAGGGAGGAGACGACTTAGGCACACACAGTTGTGAATGGCCACTCCCCGCAGGCAGGGCTGGCACAGACAATGTAACACTGCTGTGTTAACTGTGGTAACATTACAGACACCCCATCCTCCTCTGCAGTTAGTATGGATTGCTGTTCACTAGTGCAAGTACAAGCCAACCTATTCTCTAGGATCATAAGCATATTTGTGGAACACTGGCATGGCCCATCTGTGCCATAGCCCTGCCTTGATCCCAAGTCTCTCTTACCTGCTGTGCAGGCCTCCAGTTTGCAGTCTAGTCCAGCCTGATGCTCGCTAGCAGACAGATGTGTGCGCTTGCACACTCATCTCAGAGGCATTCTGCACCTGTGGCTCTGCTCAGATGCCAGTATGGACTGTCTGCCTGCTAGATAGCCCTCCCTTGACCTGGGGCCCACACTTGGTGGGTAGTTCACCTTGAAGTTTGCTAGCAAGTTTCACGTGTGCCCCTACATGCACCAGCTACAGGGAAGATGCATATGCTTGCCCCCCCATCCCTAGCAGCTGTTACCAGGCACAGGTATTGTAACCCATGTTACTGCTTCAGGTGTTGTCACTGAGAAACTCAACCCTTATTGTCCCACCAGATAGACGCAATGTCCTTGCCTCAGTGGCTGGACACCAGCATTTCTAGTCACTAGCAGTGGGACACTCTCTTGTTTCTTTACTTTACAAAATTGTAAAGGTACCATATATATTAAATTACTGATATTGAACTAGAATTTAGATAGAATAGCAAGCCTTCCATTTCAACAGCAAATAAGTAATATTACAGTTCACATAACAGGCTACTTCTAATTTATTTTTAGATTTTCTGTAACACAGCTTTAAACACCCCAAACATTTCTATTATTTGGCATGTTAGAAAATGGAAGTTTGTTTCTTGCCAGACTCGTTCTAAAGAAGCAGTGGTGATGAGGAAAACTTGAGGTGGGGGGGAGGCTTATTTAAAAGTATGATAATACAGACTGACAGAAGGATGCCTACAATGCCTGCAGCTCCAGCTGCTGCAGTCTGCTTTGATTCCAGCAGTAGCGGGGACTTGGCACACATAGCCTGTGATATCCACAGAGATGTTCCCAAGAGGTTGGCTTCTCCAACTACTGATGCTGAGACCCTTGTGCATTCCAGTTGTTGACCCCCAAATTGACTTTCACCTGTCCTTTTAGTTGTACTAGTGCACACAGCGCACTACTAGAGTAAGGCTTTGCAGAGAGATGGCTGAGGGCATACTGTAGGAATCAAGTGCTTGAGTTTTGTACGGTACCACACCCTTCTCTTGAATGTCCCGAATTATCCTGTTCCTCTTGTTTATCAGGTGACTCTCAGGTTCTTCCTTGTTTTTCAGGTGACTCTTTCCAAGTCTTTGTCTGTAGATTCTTAATGGCCTATTCAATGAGAGTCTGGTGACTTTGGTCTTTGCTATGGTTTCTGTTCCATCTCAGCTGTCTGTTCCTGTGTATTGATTTTTCCTTTACTTATTACTACTTTTTGCAGTGAAAAGGTCTCTGATCAGATAACTTTAATGAAGCAGAGATTCTTACCTTTCATATACTCTTATAGTACTATCTGTGTACAATAATTTACCCTTTTCCTTCCTCTTTCTCAAAGCAGTTGGAAAACCAAACTCTGTAAAGAGAAGTATTCAATCAGTCAGAGATGTAGAAAATGGTATTTCATGGTCAGAATTATCCTGGAAACTTGAACATTGTTTAGAACATCTAAAAGAAAGATCTGTTAAATAGTACCCTTGAAATATTTATCATATTTGTTATATTTGACTGCAAAGATTTGAAGTATTTTTTCATTATTTTTGGGATGAAGATGCATCTTAAGAAGCTGGAATCTATGCATAACCCTCAACAGATTTATTTTCGGCAAGATGTTCTCTGTGAGACCCTGGCTGGCAACAGCTGTCCATTAGTCACTATTACAGCCATGCCAGAGTCCAATTACTATGAACATATCTGTCAGTTCAGTAAGTATAATTCTTCTTTCTCATCAACTGAAAATAATGTAAAACCGGGTATTTGTAGAAAAAATTTAGTCTTAGCCACTATACAGTGTAAAAATATTGATGTAAAATAAGGTTAATGAATTTCATGCAAGTAAGAGGCATCAATAGTCAGGATTTGCTTTGTATTTTGTATTTAATGATACTTACTTGTGGTAGCCAAACAAAGATATTTATATCTTAAAATGTAAGAGTATATATTAATGTATTTCAAATTTTTTGCTGCTAGCTTTGTATATTACATTTTGCAGATACCACTTCTTGGAAAAGAATACTGGGCAAGTAACTTTTTTCTTAAAATGCTGAGGTTATTTGCTTGTCAGAAAAATCTTTTATAAAGCTAACATCTAGCCACTGTGGTTTGAAGTGAGCTTTTGCCATTTCCTGATTTGTTTGTTCACCTCAATATTTTTCTTGGCTATTAGGAAAAAAGTCATGAAGCTCATATTATAACTGCCAACTCAAATTAATTGTGTAGTTGATCAAATTTAAAGCTCTGTTGTGATACTTCTGTAATTAGCAATCCTTTCAAAAATGTTGTGTCAAGCTTTATCAATAATAACCATACTCAGTAATACTCAACTTACAAATGGTTTTGCATTGTAATTAATGCAGCTGGCTATTGGCTCTTTCTCCAATCAATAAACTGTTTACTTAGCTTAAATAATATTTTGCAATTTCTGTGGATATCTCTTTTAGGGAATCGTCCTTACATATTTCTGTCTGCTCGTGTACATCCTGGAGAGACTAATGCGAGCTGGGTTATGAAGGGAACGCTGGAATACCTTATGAGCAATAGTCCAAATGCACAATGTTTACGGGAATCTTATATTTTCAAAATTATTCCCATGCTCAATCCAGATGGTGTCATTAATGGAAAGTAAGCATATATTTATTAAAAATATTTAACCTGTACTCTTAATTCATTGCATCAATATTTAAAAATTAATAATCTAAACTAATCCTGCAAAGATACAAATGCAATACTTAATGTGATAAAAGGCAACAGACACTTGCAATATTGCTAGGATTTTTGGCTTCTTAAAAGGCAATTACATTCCTTAACAAATTTCGGTTTTACAAAATTATTTTCAGTTGTTCATGGATGATAATCATTCCTATGTGATTTGACATGACATTCTAATTGTCTCTCGGTCTTGGATTTGTGTAAGAGTGTTAAATGAGACCACACCTGCATTTAGGAAAATCTAAAGAAGTTCATGGTCTACATGAAAAAAAAAAGTGCCTTATATTTGAGAAATTTTTTTTAAAGTTGGGAAGTTAATAAGTGTGCAAGAGAAAGGGTAAGAGTGTATCCTGGTTTGATTGATTATTAATAGTAGTTATTTCAATTGCTACACTTTTCTTAATAAATTTAAGGGCTATTTCAGCACATTTTAAAACTGCTATGAGTAACATTGAGCAGTCTTCATTTATTTGGTTGCAGGAAATTCATATGAAATTTGAAATTTTGCTGTGGTGAATCTACAGTTTCTATTCATCTATTATAGGTACTATTTTAAAAGGCTTTGTAAACAAAATAATAAAACCAATTACAGATTTCAGTAGAACCTTGTCTTTATATATGTAAAAGAACATGTATACTAGAACGTGTAATTAAATAATTCAGGATACAGGGAAACTAAGAAAGCTGTCCCAGGAGACACAGTCTAAAGACAAATGTAGTGAAGATGACAGCATGATCATGAAATCCTGCAAGTTTAAAAGTTCTTGCTGGTAGCTGACTGAATACAGTGATGACCTTTTTGTTTGCTGGGTTGTTTGGGTTTTTTTGTCCTTGTTTTTCTCACAGCTCCTTGTCTCCTAACAACTTCACATTTCAAGTATTAGATTTCTAGTTGACATTAGTCTTTAAGTTACAGAAGACACCAAAATTGTAAAAATACCATATATATTAAATTACTGATATTGAACTAGAATTTAGACAGAATTGCAAGCCTTCCATTTCAACAGCAAATAAGTAATATTACAGTTCACATAACAGGCTACTTCTAATTTATTTTTAGATTTTCTGTAACATAGCTTTAAACACCTCAAACATTTCTATTATTTGGCATGTTAGAAAATGGAAGTTTGTTTCTTGCCATCCTCGTTCTAAAGAAGCAGTGGTGAGGTGGGGGGGAGGCTTATTTAAAAGTATAATACAGACTACATCATGCGTTTTTCCACTCCCCCTACAATAGCCACCGTTGCTCTTTAAGTGGAGAAGATTTAAACAGACAGTGGCAAAATCCAAATCCAGACCTGCATCCCACTATTTACCATGCTAAAGGGTTACTGCAATATCTGGCTGCTATAAAACGTTTGCCTTTGGTAAGTGTGTGTGTGTAAGCAATTCTGAATCTTTTAAACTTTGTGTATGTAGCTAGTCTATAAATTAAACACTTTGGTATGGTCTTATAAACCATGTCACACTTAAATTTGACTTGGAGAACTGATCTTCTGTAAACCTGTAGATGTAAATCTGTTACATTGGTAGGCTAGAAGGTTAAACCTTCCTGAGATGAATCACACACTTTTTGTCTTAACACATGAGTTAATTGTATAAGGGATTGCGTTGCCTTATTCTTTGGAATATTCCACAGTACAAATTAAAAAATTGTCTTTCTATTACTTTTATTAAATGTTAATTCCATATGCCTTGCGTTTATTTTACCAAATGATTTATTATAGGTCTACTGTGATTATCATGGTCATTCTCGTAAAAAGAATGTATTTATGTATGGCTGCAGCGTCAAAGAGACAATGTGGCATACAAGTGTTAATGCTGCCTCTTGTAACCTGACAGAAGACCCTGGTTACAGGGTAAGTTTGACATTTGCACCTTTTATTTGACATGGGTTTGGAGCATACTTTTCAAATAGCATCCTGATCCTATCAGACGAGCAGACTTATTTTAAATAATCTTGTTTTAGCTTGTGAGTATACTTCAAAGTACACTTCATGCAGTGTACTTTGAGCTTTAAACATTATACATAGTGCTATTTGTTGCTGTTGTTTCTTTACACAGATTTTTTTTTGTGTTTAATATTACTTTTTTAGAAAATAGATGGAAAATATGCTTCTGTGCATTTATAATTACCAGATTGAAAAACAAGTCGTTGAAGCTGGCAAACAATATTCTAACAACAAGGCAGAAAAGAAACTGCTTTTTTCTGAGAAATACTTATTTTTGTATATGGCAAGATTCCTTTTTATTTATTCCTTTATATAAAGACATGTACCCCTAATTAGGTGTATATAATAAACTTGCACAGACACATCCTCTGCATTGTACAAGCTTTCAAAAATGTCAAAAATTTAGAGAATTACTTTTTTCTTGGAGTGTTACCTATTTTTTTTGTGTGTGTCCGTACACTGCTGCCTCATGGGAACTGCAAATCTATGTGACCTCTAGGCATCCAGGCCCCATGTTTTTTTGAAAAGATTCAGAGTTAAGCTTCAAAAGCATGTGAATGTGTGTTGAAAGACTCGTTATGCATTCTTGAGTGTAAATGAGTACAGATGCTTTCTGATTTTTTTTCTCTTTAAATCTTCCTCACCAAAAAAACCCCTAAAACTACGTCTTCTTGATTTTCTTGTGTGATTTCCTGGATGTAGAGCTGGGTGCCGATCACATCTGCTGCTCTAACATATTTATGTGGGGTTTTGTTACTTCAGCCTGCACTACTGTAGTGCTCGAAAGACAGTAGTCAATAAAGGCTGTTGGAAGAAGCCTTTCATTTTCGAAAAGGTGAACTGAAATGTTTGGGCAAGCTTACACTGATGGATTATATATTACTACCAAAATAAGAAATTTTGAAGCAGTCATGTGTTTCCTCTTAACTAACACAAATAAAGACTGGAAAGAACAGTCAATTAGCCTTAGTCAAATATATATATTTGCATGACCTTTTCACTGAAGCTGTCATGTAAATAGTTATACTGAACTTTGATTCACATGCTTGAAGTGAAGTATATGCTTTGCTGAATACAAATGAATTTTCTGTGTTAATAAAATACTGCTTTTGTTAGGTCTGTAAATGGGATTTCTGAAGCAGTCTGCAGTTGGATTAAATACTTACGTGGAGTATGTGGTATACTTAATTTGAGCAAATTTAGCTTGGTGAGTTAGGGGGATGGTGATCAGCTGAAGAATTCTCTTGTGTCCTGATCCTTATTTGCATGACTAACAATTTTAGTGACTGAGCCTGAAGAAAAGGATTTTTAAAACTAGGAAAGGAGAAGCCACTGTTAGTTGAACACACTGAATTTTGAAAACTCAAGATGGGGAATTGTTTCTATTTTTCTTTTTTTTTTTTAATTCAAACTGCAGCAAATTTTCTGGTAACGGTTTGTGATTACATGGTCCGTTTTCACCTCCTTCCATATGGGAAGTAAAAGAATCACTGTATTTTTCAAATTGCTGTCCTGCAGGCACTTCCCAAGATCCTGAGTCAGACTGCCCCCGCATTTTGCATGGGCAGCTGCAGCTTTGTAGTGGAAAAGTCCAAGGAATCTACAGCACGAGTTGTTGTCTGGAGAGAGATAGGAGTACAAAGGAGCTACACAATGGAAAGCACTTTATGTGGATGTGACCAGGGCAAGTATAAAGTAAGAGGATACAGCAGTTACATATTTCTTACTTTTTAATTTCTTCCCTTTTCTGGACAAACTTTTATTTCTTCCCTTCTTATCTTACTGTGTAACCCCGCTTGCTTAATTCTTGCTTGCTTTAAGCTTCTGAAATCTTTTAAGGTCTGGGTATGCTAATGCTAGGATGAAGTTATGCAATTTTCAACTTTGTAGGTTGCATAGCAGTTCTGCTTATGGGCTGTTTTAACAAGATTAATATTAATCATTGCTTGTAACATATGTGTATGCATGCAGTTAAAAAAGCCCAGAACTGTTCTGCCCAACAGATTATTAGAATGAAGTAGTAGTAAATGTCTATACTATAATAAAAATTTCCATTAACATATGGCAATTTCAGACTTTGCTATGGTGATTATGGTTCTTCAACAGATATTTAGCAGTGTCCCTTATAGAATTTCCAATATAGCTGAGGCAGCAGGCTTACACACTTTCATATTGGGTTACCAGCACTACAAATTACACATCATCTCTGAGCTCACATAGTTGAGTGGCCTCTTGACTTAAAATTTGTTTTCATTTTTTCTCATTGAAAAGTGTTAACAGGGCTGCAAAAAAAAAGGTGACCCTGTTGGTAGTGCCTCACCATGGGTGGAAGAAGTGGATTTCCTCTGCTTGAAAGCTGAGTTTAGGAATACTAATCAAGAAAATGATCACAGGCCTCAAATAAGGTGTTGACAGAAGGAGTATCAGAAGGCTTGGTGGGACAGAAAAAAAAAAGAGATGAAACAAGATATATTTAGTATATTAATGTATGCTCCAACATCTGTGCTTATGTCTCTAGACAGTAGGATTACAGATATTTTGTCCAGAATTTCAGTAGGCCTGTAAGTACTACATTTTGTCAATTAACAACAGATGCATTCCTGTTCTTGTCAGAATATTCCTCAGATGATGGCATTATAGAGCTTTAAAAAAAGATAACTTATCCAAGTTGCTTATTTTGAAATTTCTGAACATATTCTTAAACATGGACCCTGATGGCTTTAGCAGTGTTGCTACAGGAAGTTCTTAAGAAGAGTGACTTGAAGATGCTTTGTGGACAAACTTTCAAGATGCTTAAACCTCCAAAGCTATTCTTCAGTAGTGAAAGAAAGAAATGGCTGAATTTTGTGGAGGAATCATTTACTCAAGGGAAGAGAATTCTTTTATGCCATATAAACTAACTAATGAGACTAAATTACTGTTCTGCCATTCATTTTATGTAGTAAAGCAATTTGTGAGCTCTTAGTCATCTTCTGAACATACAGGAAGATTCTTAATTTTCTTCACTATGATAATTCTCAGACTTACTAGGAAAATATATCTAAAAAGTCAAGGTGACTGGACTTAAGCAAAGAGCTGCATTTTTCTAGTGAGAAGATGAAAGAGATGAAAATACTTAAGGTCAGGATTTTTGGGGGGGCTTTTGTTGTGTTTTTTGGTTTCTTTTGGGGATTTATTTTGTGGAAGGACAGTTACTCTTGCCAATAAACTTGTGGTATCAATTAGATTGCAATGCCATAAAGTTATTTCAAAACAGAGAGAAGTTGAACTATAGAAATTCCTTCCCTCCTACTTCCTATCCTAAAGGACATGAGAGTTCAGATCTCAGGGATGGAAACAAAGATTTGAAACACTTTGCTAGTCTTATTCTAGTTTGGCATCCTTGCTGAATTTTGTTCAAAGCATGAAGAGCATTACTTAACAATTCAGTTCTTTGTGGAAGGAATACTGAGTCTTTGCCCAAGCTGAACATAATTTTTCTTTTTATTCTAATTTATTTTCTTGGACAATGATGAATCTAGACTGTTTCCAGTCAGGAAGCTGTTGGGCTGAAGTTTGCTGTTCTTACCTCAATTTAGGATGTATGTCTGGTGACAGAGTTATCTCTGGAAGCAATTTTTTTTGAGCTGGTCATATGGAGTCTTCATAGTGTGTTAACAATAAATGCTGCAAATGTAGATCAGTCATTTGTGATTCAAGATGTGGAAAAACAAACTTTCAGGTGAAAGGATTCTCCAGGATCTACTATGGAGCATAATTAAGATGCCAGACAAAAGAACAAAGTCTTCAATTATCCATGCCACCTGAAAACAGAAATCAAGGTCTTTCCTGACTGGAGATTAATATATTTGGAAGTATTGCCTGACTTTTAAGTTAGTCGAAAATATTTTGTTATCTAGCAATCTTAAGACACACATAAAGAGAAGACTTCAGGAAATAAATATTTGGTTAACAAATTTCTCAGTAACCATGAATTTTCAGTCCCTAGAATTGGAGTTCTTAAAAATGATTATGTCTTTGTCACCTCTGTGGAATAAGAAATCAGAAGATCTACATGGTATTTTACTGTCCAGTTGACTTCTCTGAATCTTTATATGGCTGTTTTCCTCTTATTAAGTACATATTACAGGAATATTCTTCTCCACTTGAGGTCACAGTCTGCTGTGCCTTTGTTTTGTATCTTTGCTTTGAAGTAGCAAATTTAATCACTGAGATATTCTATAGATATGAAGGTGTCTTTATGACATGCTTAGTAAGGAAAACATCAACCTTCCAGATGAAATTTTACTGTGTAGAAGAAAGACAGATGTATAAGATGTAGAGAAAAAGAAATTGTTTTTCGTTTTTAAAAAGAAGAAGCTGCATCGAGGTGGCTTGAGCTTAAAAGAAATGCCTGTAGTATATAAGTAACTTTATTAGGCCTCAGTTAATGGTGCTGGAACAACAGATGAAGATCATTAGAAGATAGAGAAAAGGAGTGAAAAGCTTCAGTGAAAATGAACTTGACTTCAGCTCCCTTAGTAAAGGGCAACTGATGATGATGATCTCCAGACTTTGGATCATTTTGCATGGAAATGAAAAGATTTGGCTGATGGAAGAATTCAATTAAGAAATTTGATATTTGGCATTTGTATGATTAAAAGAAATGAAAGAAGCAAATCAAGATTTGGCATGAGGCTTTTACCACAATTGTGTAGACCTTTCAGTGTAGTAAGTTCAAAATTTATCCTTCAGGTGTTTTCCAGTCATCCACCTCCAATCTGATCCGTTTAGATTTCTCTGTAGGTACATCCTCTTTCTGCTGTGCTAAAAATAGCAGCCACGGAACATGCGCATGCTATTTATCTTTATAACAATTGCCTTTGCACTTTTCTTCATGCTGTACTCTTGTCCTTTTTCAACTCAGAGACACTTCTGTTAGACGTAGGCTGTCTATAAGGAACATGCCAACTAACGATAAATTCTTCAGCAACAAATTCAGACAATAACTGGAAAAGTTTTTGAACCATCAAATTGTGCACATTAGTAATCTGTGTAACAGTGAGATTACTGTTACCTTTCTCCTTCCTCTTCTACATACTTGTTGCCTCTTGACCTTAATGTTATTTTAATCTCTTTGGGGCAGGGACTGTCTTCCTGTGATTAGCATAGTGGAGCCCCAGCTAAGATTGGGGTCTTCGAAAATTAATGATGTGCAAACAAATACAAAACAAAGCCAAAAAATTGGCCTCTGTGGATAAGGTACTGCACTGAGTGAGGAGAACTGATTTCTGTTCCCAGCGGGGTCAGTGACATGCTGTGAGACACTGTGCAAATCGCTTCAACCCTCTCTGCCTCCATTTCTCCATCAGTACAGTGAGGATAATTCTTCCTTTATTAATAAGTGCTTTGAAACCTACAGCACAAAAGCATTATAAAAGAGGTAAGTAGTATTACTATTAAGAATAATACTCAAATATTCAACTCTTGTTCACTGCTAACAGGTTTCAGTACCTTTTGTCCGGAGGATGGCACTGTTCAGAATCATGGATATAGTTTTATCTTCCTTGTTACTAAAAGGCACTTTGTTTATGAGTACTACCAAGGCAAAAAACTAACTCAAGAGAAAATCAAACTTTTCTTCTATTAAGTATGTTCGAAACAGCACATGGAGAATGTGTGGGCTGTACCATTTCTGGAGCATCATGCTTTCTTTTAAACCTTGCATTTTAAAATGCAGTGTCAGTGTGGCAACACATGAAAAGCTTGTGTGGCTTTTTTTTCCTAGCTTTGGTAAAAAAATTCCTACTTCATTCTTTTTTGCTTCTTTTATAATTGATGACTTAGCTTACCACCAGTTTCTGGCTCTTCTGTCTCCCTGTTTGCTTTGTCAAAGCTTATTTTAATCTGTGTGTTAAGGTGTTTAGAAGACCTAGAATTCTTTTAAATTCTCCTGAGATACAGAAATTGTAAAGGGAGAAATTGAGTTGAGTTGTGTACTGAATTTGCTTACGTATATACAGTTAGTACTAGCCAATTACATAACTGCTAAGACTCAGTCTAGATTACTGTCTTTTCATAAAGTAGTTGAGGTCAGAGATTATATCCCTATGTACTGTACTTCTGGCTAAATTAAAAGCGTAGAATTACCTGATGGAAGGATTTATCAGATATGTAAACTTGGAGAGCATTACATAATTTCTGCCTTCTAAATAGTCCTTGCAGAGGAAAATGTCTGGCTATGTAATTCAAGTTAGAAAAGAGCTATGGCTTTTGATAATTTGTTTGTTAGTTTTAATTACTAAATATGTGAATAAATACTTACAGAATTAACACATGTAGCCTTTAACTTACAGGCAGGGAAGAGACATCTGTCTCATGGAGCAACTGCTGCCTTACCTATGTTTCAGAACATAGCAGTGAACTTAATCACAGCTATGATATTAATTATCTCCTTTTTTAAATTTAGAATTTATGTTGAAGAATCTTGTCTTTGAAATTATCCTTATAAATCTTGTCTGAAGTTTTAAAAATAATTTATGCTTGGGAATCTAGACGTTGTCTCTCTTCCAGTGCTGCTGGAAAACGATCTGTCAATATTGGGGTGCTAGAGGTTTAGACTAGGAAGCTCCAAAAAATGTAGATGTGCCTGTTCAGCCTTGGAGGAATCATGTAGGTATTCCTGAGCCTTCTCTGATACTCTTAAGTGTTAATTCTACAATTCTGATTTGTTCTGTTTTCAAAGCAAGAGAATGTATTAAATAAAGTAAGAAAATATTAACCTAAAGAGTTATTCTGCAGTATGTGTGGGTGCATCTACATGTACTTATTTGGTATTTTTTAATCTTACTTTCAAATTAGGGATTGCAGATTGGTACAAGAGAACTGGAGGAGATGGGAGCAAAGTTCTGTGTTGGCTTGCTGCGTTTAAAAAGATTGTCCTCACCTTTGGAATACAATCTGCCTTCTAGTCTGTTGGATATTGAAAATGAGCTGATTGAGTCAAGCTGTAAAGTGACAAGGTAGTACACTTTTATTATATTCGCTTCTTCTTTAGAGAAAAAAATTGTAGTTTCTTAAGTGGTGTAAAGATTCTTTCAAAAATATTCTTCCACTCACCAAAAATAACGCTGATGTGTTGTGATCTGTTGCTCTAATAATAATCTAAATGTGCTGGAGACCTATGATGTTAATTCAGTTGCTTCAAATTTCGAAAGAAAACAATACAGACCGAGTTAGACTATATGTCACATTTGTGGCTGGGATAAACACTAGCAATTTTAATGTCATTGGGCAGGTATTACAGACCATAAAATTCAGTAGTAGGTCTTAGCTCTCAATTCTCTCTTTCAAAGTGTTGTGGTTTTTTCCTCTTTTTTTTTTTTTTTTAACTTGCTGTGGTATTAAAAATGTGTTTAAAAAGACTTAAAGTTTGAGTTTAAAGTTGAGTTAAAGCACTAAGAACTGTAAGTATTTCTTCCAAACTTTCTTTTCTTGTTGCTCCTCTGGTGGAGATATATAACAAGACTTGAAGAATTTAAAACTTATGAAATAGTTTGGGTCACAAAAGAAATTTATATGCTCAGTAACCAGATTATTCAGTGGCCAATTCTTAAAGCTGTGGTAGATAGGCTTGCAAATGTGTACATACATTGCATCTTTCCATTCATGTAATTCATCAGTGAAGTATTCACACGTACATGTAGATACTTCAGTAACTAAGGATGGACAACAAGTAAGTGATTTCGAATGTACATGCATATTTTCTGATAATGTGCTTGACAGACTAATAAAGCAGAGTTCCAGGTTTGAAAAAAAAAAATCCTTGAAAAAGAATACTATTTACATGGTATAATATTTCTACGAATGTTGGCTCTAGCTCCAGTTTAGCTAAGGCAATACAGTGGAAACTTGGGAAAAAAATTAAATTTGTTACTGCTTTTGGACAGCTGAAATGAGGAAGTACTTGACAGTAAGACTTACACTGGATGTAAGATTAATGAGCAGTTTTTCTGCAGACCACGTAGACCCTAGCAGAGCTAATGGGGCGCATCTGTGACACCCTATGACTGTGAAATAATGTTTATTTCCCTCATTCAAACCCGTCAGTATTAGTGGAGTGGTGACTCTTGAGAGAAACTGGAGTTTGTTCATGCTTGTTCATTTACAGATAATAATAAAAAGTGAAGCATAAGCTGAAAGGTGATAAGAACAATAGGAGTAACAACAGGAGGGTGTCTCAGGAAAGTCGTTAAAAGTGTATGAATAGTAGCTGTGATCTGCTGGCTTCAGTGATGGTTGGATTCCCTTAGTATCATTTGCTCACTAGTTAAGCATCAGGATGTTTGTAATGACTGAGTTTTTACTGTCAGAACCAGTTTTGTGCTTTGTTAAAGCTGAGTTAGAGACTCCTGGAAAAGATAGTGTCAGAAAGTGGGTTTGGGGTGACCAAAGAAGAACTTCTGTAAGTGTGTAAGTAGTAAAAGAAATCTTAGGGGAAATATGGGCCCACAGGTGAATGGGGCAGGAGCCCCGGTTACACAGGACATGTAAAAGGCTGAGGTGCTGGCTGCCTTCTTCATCTTAGTGCTCATTACAAAGATTGGCTCTTGGTGTGCCAAGGACCCAGACACTGGGGAAGGATTGGAGCAAGGAAGGCTTACCTGTTGTGGGAGAGGCACAGGTTGGAGACTACTTAAGAAAGCTAGTCTTACCTAAGTCCTGACGTGCTGGCAAGATGCACCCACAAATACTAAGGGAGCTCACTGATGTCATTGTGGGACCACTCAATTTTTGAAGGATCATAGTGATTGGGACAGGTGCTTTTGAAAACTGAATGAAATCAGATGTCCTGCCTGTCTTCAGGAAGAACAGGAGGAGGATCCAGGGAATTACAGTCTTGCTGTGATCCCTGATAAAGTAATCAAACAACTAATCCTGGAAAGTATTTCCAGCTACTTGAAGAGGAGGTGTTTGTGAGTAGTCAACATGTGATCCTTCCCCTCTCCTCAAAACTGGCATGGCCTGCACACTTTTGAAGGATTGTGCTGTTCAGTGCAAGAGTGTAATGGACACTGGAGATAGTCCAGTGAGGAGCTCCTAAGATGGATGTACCTCCCACTGTGGGGGGAATGCTGGGAGGGCAGGGTCTGTTAATCTGGAGTAGAGGAGGCTATTATCAATGTATACAAATACCTGAACGGAGGGAGGTTGTAAAGAAGGTAGAGCCAGGATTTTTTCAGTGGTATCTGCCAACAGGCTAAGAGCACAAACTGTAGAGGAAACTGCGTTAACCATTATATACATAGAAAGGTGCCCTAGTTTTGGCCAGGAGAGGGTTAATTTTTTACCTCAAACAGAAAAGGGCCTGGCCAGACCGTACTGTTATTTGATTCCATCTCACATCACTTGTCAGGGACAGGAGTAAGACACTCCCTCATTTCTGGTCAGGCAGGGGAGAGAAAAACTGGCAGGTGAAGAGTGTGGTATTGTTGCACTTTCTATGTAAATCATCCTGTTGTGTTTTACCTTTTGTTATTAATGTCGTTGCCTTTACTCTTCCTTTCTTCTCTCATTGCTGCTTCCCGTAAATTGTTGTTATCTCAATTTGTAATTTTTACCTTTGTTTCTCCAATTTTTAACTCCGTTCCTGGGGGGAAGGAGAAGGGGAAGGGGGGGGGTGGCGCAAGCGAGCAGCATCTGGTTTGGGAGAGTCTTGGTGGGGGCACTGAGCCATGACACATGGCTAGATACATATATATATATATTTGTTGTGAGGATGCTCAAACAGTGGAACAAACTTCCCATGGAGGATATAGAGTCTTACCCCTTGACATTTGAAAGCTGTCTCGATGTGGTACTCAGCAAACTACTCTAGATGGCCCACTAGAGCAGGGGTGTTGGACAAAATGCCCTCCTGAGGTCTCTTGCAAGCTCAGCCATTCTGTGAAAAGGGGGAAAAGTCTTCAGGTCTTTTCTCAAACCATGCTGGGGGCAGGGGAAAACTGCCTCTGACTTGATTTATATTTCATTGCTGGGAGTGGGTGGCACAGGGACTGTTTTAGCCTGTATTTTCAGAAAGCACTGATAAAAGACTATAAACATAGTGTTGACTACATGTGAGCACAGGAGAAATAGAACATTAGGCTCATAATAAGCTTATTGATACTCTTTGTGGAAATATTTATAATCCTGATTTGTGAAGAAAGCAACTAGTACTCTGGAACTTACAAAAACCCAGCAGGTTCAGTTCCATCCAAAAGACTAGGTCTGAAGATGACAAAAATAATTGAATTGGAAGATAAAATTTTGAATTGGAGAGACATGAGTAACTTCATTCAGTTTATTAAGAATGAATTTATACCTAGAATTTTTTTTTTAAATGGCTTCCCCTAACATGACCTTTGGGTGTTACACAGCTACAGATGGTGAAAGGTCATCACCAAGTGCTTCTGCAATAAAGAAATTAGGAGAGTGGGAAAAAAATCAGATTCTCTGCATGTAAGAGTTAATATTTTTAATTGATATGGAACATTGACATAAGAAACATTGAAGGTTATTGGAGGAATCTATTAACATCTCTTTAAGTTTTTTAAAGTCCTGATGACTTTATTTCTTAAAGTCATTAAATGTAAATCTAAGAACACTAAAACATAAAACAGAAAAATGCACATCATGAAGTGAGAAAATAAGTACATTGCTCTCAGTATTCACCTAGCAATACCGTATAACTATGTGAGAATCTCTGATGGAAAAACTGAATGTGTGAATTTCAATAACTTAATTTAAAATATGGCATTAAGACTGAAATACGTTGTGTATTTGTACCTGGGTTTCTGAGCAATCTCGTGTCCCTGCCCACAGCAGGGGCATTGGAACTAGATGATTGTTAAGGTCCCTTCCAACCCAAGCCATTCTATGGTTGTATGATAAACAAGAAACTACAATTTTTTTCACAGAATCTCCACTATTAGCAATAAAAGTGTCATATAATATTTAATTATGTGACACACACATGACGCACATTATCTTCTTTTATTCTCTTACAAAGGGATCAATACTACCATATGTGGAAATAAGAGGTGGTCCCACTCTTTTGTTGCCAGAAGCTCAGAAGCAGAGTTTTGCTGTATACCTTAGGCCTTTTTAAAAAAATCTTTATCAGCCAAGGTGTGCATTTATTATTCACTTGAGTAGCAGAAATATACAAAGAGCCTCTGTCTCTGAGCAAAGTTTGTAGAGCTGATTCCTATTCCTCTTCAGAGACAGTCATGGGTCAGAATATAATCACACAGTTTCTTGTTTTATATGCTCAAACTTCAGTTCTCAGTGTTCTTTAACAATGAAAGAACTGCTTGTACTTTCTTTATACTCATGTGATTTGCTGCTTTTTACCTGCCATTAGAGACAAATTAGAAGCTACCTAAAAATCAGGTAAAAAGTTCATCAATAGGAAGTATAAAACAGAATATTTTTACACATCTGTAGCATTCCTGTAGGGTTAGAGTAGAGCAATTACTAAGATTGTCATTATTTCCTTTATTTTTGGATATCACAGGTATTACTTTTTACCAAAGCACAGTTTTAATACTTTAGAGACTAAGCAGGCAAGTTTAAACACAGAAGCACTGATTTCATTTTTTGCAAATGATTTTGAGGGTTTCTCAAATTCTTTTTGGTTTTCCAGGTTGTAGTTATAATGACCAAGTGCATGTTAATATTTTAAAATAAATTGCCAATATTTCATTACACATAGACTGAATTTTCATGAGTTCATTTTGAATCATGTCTGAAACAAGAAAAATAAAGCAATAAGTAGATTTATTTCCCTCTGGCAGTGAACTTTAACCTTTTATGTGATGAATTAAACACTTAATTTTTCTTTAATTATTTCCAACCCAATTGACAGTGTTTTCATCCGTGTTCCAAATGGAAAAGATTAGACTAAATGTAATACTGGTCTTTTATTGAGAATTGTAGTTGTTGTGCTGACAGGTTTGATAGGGTCTATATGCAATGAAAC